CAATGAAGAGGAGGGCCAGTCACCTGAATTCCTCCTGCAGGGCCTGTTGGATGAGTCCTATATTCTTCCTGGGCTGATTAGCCTATGAGTTACTGATACAAGTCAGCCCTTAGTTCCTGCTGTTGGTGTGTCTTCAGGTTGTTCCAGGTCACCAGATCTTCCTATCTATAGTGTTTGTCTGGCTGAGTTCCTACTGTGTCTTGGTGCCTCATAAGCCCTTTTAATTTTCTCCAAGTTGGGGGAGGCCTTATTGGCCTGCTCCTCATCCTGCTTAATGTTCTATGTGTGGAGGAAGGGCTCTCCCACACTCTTGCCTAGCTTGCCAAGTTCTACAGCTGGAGGGAGCTTTGCTGCTGCTGCTATTTACTCACTGAAGACCTCTGTTTTAGGGACCAACTTGGCATATTTAGGCTGCTGAGGTCTTCTGTTTTGAGTAAATCTCCCATCAGCACAGTTAATCCACTACAGTCCAGTGTTCTGGGAGGACGAGTGGGAGCTGAAAATCAACAGCACTTGTAGGTACAGGAGTTGGGAGGTTAAATCCGTGGACAGTTGGCTGGTGGAGTATGGTGGAAGCATCTCGCCCTTGCATGCTGGCCGAGGCTAGGTGAGCCAAGTCAGTCAGGGACAGCACGTTGGGTGAGGCATGGCAGAAGTAGGCTTTCTTGTGTAAGTGATTTGTTTCTCTTCCCTAACAGCTTTTAAAATTCTATTCTTGTATTGAATTTCTAGAATCTTGACTTTAATATGCCTGGATGTAGATTTTTTTTTTGATCATTGCTAATTGGAGTTCTATATTTCTCAGTTATTTGTATGTCACATTCTTTTTCTCTAACCAGGAAAGTTTTCTGTCATTATGACTATGAAGATTTTGTTAATATCATTTATGGTTTCTCCTGCTTCTTCATTAACTCCAATTAATCTTATTATTCTTTGTCTCCTCTAGCAGCTGCTATATTGATTTCTCATGTGCCCTTGCTGATTTTGAGAAATTTTTCTTTTCCTGGTCCCTGGCCACAGTCCTGTCTTCAATATTTGAGATCCTGTCGTCACATTGGACTAATATGCTTTGAATACTTTCAGTGGAGTTTTGTTCTCCTGGGTATCTGCTTGAACCTGCTTTGTGGATTCCATTTGTTTCCATAATTTGCTGAAGCTCACCTATTTTTTGTATGTGCTCTGACATCACTAAGCTTAGTATGTATTTGTTAATCTCTGTAGTTATGTGAGAGATAATTTCTGCTTTCATTTTTTCCAGAGCATCATACAGTTGCTTTGTTACCACTTTGAAGACTCGTGGTAGAGGGCTTTTGGATTTTCCAGCCTCATTGCCCCCTGGATTTGGCTTTGGTTAACTGGGTGTCTGAGATTGTGTCTTAAGTGTGTTTCATATATTTTCAATGGAATGCAAAACAGTTATATACAATATGCAAGACCATAATGTATCAATTCTGTTCTTAAGGATTAAGATTCAAAATGGATTAAAGAAAGAACAGTAAAATGGGAAAAGAGAAAGAGATTACATATAGGTTGGAGGACAAAGATTGATCCTACCAACTTGGGGAAAGTGATGCAGCATATGGTAGTGATATATGCATTCCTGTTGCATGCAGTTTGTAATAGCTAAATCTTGGAAGTAGCCTATATCAATAGATGAAAGACTAAAGAAAATATGAATTTTATATATAATGAAGTACTATTCTGCCATAAAGAGAATTACATTTGAGGCATTTATAGGTAAATGGATGCACTTTGAGACCATAATGTCATATGACATAATACAGAAACATTTTATTTCTGTAGCTCTTCTCTTTCTCTTCCCTAAATATTGTTTCTTAGATTCTTTTTTTTTGCCTAAGTCTCAGAGAAGCTGTGATTTGCTTCTGGCTTTTGCTCTGTTATACTGATCCTCCCTTTAATTCATCTGTTACCTTCCTACATTAGATAGTAAACTCTATGAAAGTAGGGCTTTATTACTGCTGAATTACCAGTTTATAGAACTGGTACATGGAAGTACTGAGTAGCTATTTCCCTCTAAGTTATTCACCCTAAAATATTGCCCAGCTGCATTTTTCTGAGCCTTTGGCATCATTCAAACAGGATGGTGCTTATCTTCATTAGGAAGAACTTTTCCAAGCTGACTACCTTCCTAAAGCTTTATGAAGTTCATCAAATATATTTTAGTACATTAGTTGATTTTTCACTTTATGGTTCATTACTTCTGTACATCTCATTTCTTATCAGTAGAATTCACTTTTTTATTTTTCTAAGAGACAGTATAAACATAATGCCTTTAATGTTTTCTTAAGCCTAATTCTCTGACTTCATACCAAAGTACATTTTCTAATTTAAACTAGGATCCTAAATCTTTCACTTGTTTATGCTTGAGCTTCATGTTATTTAACTTACCTTCACTTTCTTCTATTAGGACAATTGTACCTTTTCTTTATGGGAATTTTAGACAGAGAATTGTTTAATGTCAACTGTTTCTCTTTCCTTATATGCAGTAGTTCCTGAAAATTATTAAACCTGTCTAAAGTGAGGAGTAAATATTTCCATGAGCTTGGACGATAGATTCACATATTTAGCTTTTTAACACTACTGTATTAAGAAATGTAATAAATGTTAGAAAACTACCCTTCTAGAGAAAAATAGATCTATTCTTTAACTTATAGAATAGATACTTTTGCTATTTTTGACAATGAAATCAAGGAGCTTTAAGTGTTGCTTTTCGTAATTAAATGATATATAGAAGGCAGCATTGTGTTTTTGACTATGAAAATGGAAATTTAGGCATCACATACTAGAGACTATTAGAATTACAGATGTTGTTAATTCCTTTCAAAGAAGACTAATTTTTTTGTCCTCTGCATCTGTTTCTTTATTTACTCATTAGATAATGGCATTTGTTTCTATCAGTCTGCTTTTTTCTGCTTAGATAAAACTAAATTTAAAAAACTAGGTGGTTAGTCTAACAAATTCTTTAATATTCTATTTATTGTACACACCTTCCTCAGATTTTTTCAGAAGTCATAAGTATAGCCCTCAATTCAATCCATAATCGTTTGCATCACTGATTTTAAAGCCTTTTTATTTCTTTATATGATTTAGAAAATCTCTTCAGAGTTACTATTTAGTTAGTGGTCTTTAACATTCATAGTAGTGCTGTCACAAGTCAATTGGACATATAGTAATGATTAACCAGAAGTTACTTAGTTGTGTGGCATGATGTTTGAATTAGTTTTAATGGATCTCTAAGTAATATCCAATAGAGTGCATGAGCCACAATAAATTTGCAGTTAATGTTTGAAAACGTTAAGATTTAAACTGACTAAATTTCATTATATTTCAGAGGTACTGGATTAGATGCCTTCAGCGGAAAGTTGAGGTTGTTAGAGAAATGAAAAGGGCAGACCTTAAATGATTGCTAACTGTATGTCTGTTATTGTGCCTAAGTACTTACAACCCAGTTATCTCATTTAATTGTAACAATCCTGTTAGGAACTTGATCCCTTTTTAAATGGAGTATCTGAGGCTTAGAGGTAATAGAGCTAGTCTGTGGCACAGCTGGAATCTGAATCAAAGGCCAATGTCTTAACCCTGTTGTAGCTGTTTTCAGCAATAAACCAGAAATAGTAGAATGTTGAGATTGTTTCAGAAATAAAAGCTGATTGGAGAGATAAATTAAAGTGAAATATCAGAATTTAGTGGAAGAACTATATGCTTTTATGACTTAATTTTTGATCTGTTGAGAGAAAAATGTGTACAGAGTATAATATTTGAAAATTAGGAACATGTTTGCAAGACTTTTTTTTTTTTTTTAGTACATGTGTGTAGTACATTATCCTCTTTGTAGGAAGTTGGGACATGTACTTAATACATTTTAATTTCTCTTTTTCATTCCCTTTCATTTCCTTCCTATCCCTTCCCTGTCCACCCATTTTTAGATTCCTCTGCTTTATTTGTTTTATTTTGCTTTGTCTGCTATGTGTGCAGTACATAATACTTACATTATTTGTACACAGTTGCTATGTCTACGTCACATTTCCCAATTCCTGTTTTAATCTCCTCGTTCTTCTCTCCCTCTTCCCTTCCTCATCTTTTGATTTCCTTCTTTGTAAAGGTCTGTCTCCTTACTTCCTATCATCTATGATTTTTCCTCTATGCTTTTATTTTGGTTTCTCATATATGAGGTATCATATGATCTTTAAGCTTGTGTATGATTTATTTCTCCTAAAGCTATGGTCTCAAGGTGTATCTATTTTCCTACAAATGACTCAAGTTTATCTTCATGGCAGAGTAGTATATTATTGTGTTCTTAAATGAGATTTTATTGTTTGTATGGACTTGTGTAAAGACAGACTTTTTGCTTTTGGATCGTAGGTTCTCTGCCTGTTTGACTTTTTAAAAGTATATAAACTTTCTTGTCTCTGATTCTTTATCTGTAAAACAAAAGCAATAGTAACTTCTTAATAGATGTAAAGAACTTATAGCTGTAGTATTTGTCTTAGGTGAAGGGGCAATGTTATTATTACTTTATTTACATTATTTGTAAATCATATTTTCATATTTGTATTCCATTCATTTTTGTGGTGAGAAATTCTAATTCTTGATCCTAATTTTACATGGTGTGTGTTCCTAATCTTGTTTTACCTTTGCTTTCTGCTTGTCAACTCATTTTATGTTATTTATGTTTTATATAAGTAAGGTAGGTTATTCTGAATCTTACCAAGTAGTTATATGCTACAATTTGCTGTATTTGTTTAGATTTGAAATTACTTTTGCCCATGTTTGTGGAAATTAGATTTGTTTGCTGGTTTAATTTCTTTTATCTAAAATTCTTAAAACTATGGTTCAAAATTAGTTTTCTGTCAGACATAAATTGTTAGAGTACCTGTTTTTTCCTGTTAGTTGAGTTTTTGGTGCTGTTTTACTTTAGTGTTATAATAAGTAACTTCCCACTCTACAGCTGGTTATTGTTTCTTTCTCTTTGCTTTCAGCTGGTTGGTGGAGAATTTGATTTGGAGATGAACTTTATTATCCAGGATGCTGAGAGTATAACATGTATGACAGAGCTTTTGGAACACTGTGATGTAACGTGTCAAGCAGAAATATGGAGCATGTTTACAGCTATTCTACGAAAAAGTGTTCGGAATTTACAGACTAGCACAGAAGTTGGACTAATTGAACAAGTATTGCTGAAAATGAGTGCTGTAGATGACATGATAGCAGGTATGGGCTATGACTGTCTGAGAGGAAAGTATAACTTAAATTATTTATGAAGTTTTATGTGTTGCTGTATATACTGTAATTAATACATATTTGGTAAAATAACCGCTATATGTAACAGATGAGAGAAATATTAGGAAAATTTGCCTTTATAGTAATGGGAAGCAGAAAGAAGACAAATGTGATTAATATAGTACGTGAACATAATTACTAATTTTGTTTTTCTAAGATTTAGAAAACCTCAGTACTCTGGAGTAAGTACTAATAAATCAATAAAAAAACCTTTTATGCAGTATATACCTTTACATAATTAAAATACTATAATATATATTTCAGTACTGAATTATCAGTGAGCTCTTTACCAAATTATACCAGTTAGATGCTCATCAATTTGGCATGTGCGGAACTGTGACAAATAACAGGAGATGCTAAAAGCCGTAGAATAAATGTATTTCTTTTGGAAGTGATTATTTCACTTTGATTTTCGGGTGGGGGAGAAAGCTTCTACAAGAAAATAACCACATATATTGTTGAATAGGACATGAAATTTTCACTAAATTTCAGGTTAAAATTATTGATTGTTTGGCTTGTTATAGATTTTCTTTTTCTTTTTTTCTTTTTTTTTGTACTGGGAATCGAACTCAGAACCTTGTGCTTGCCAGGCAGGCACTGTGCAACTGAGCTATATCCTTGGTCCTATAATAGGTTATTTTGAACAGTGAATTTATGATTTGTCACCACCAACCCTTGACTTCCCGTGCATGTTAATAAAGATGCACTTCTATAGAAATGTTTTAAATAATGATCTGAAAACAGCAGTTATTTCCAGAAGATAAGTTCAAAGTTTGAAATGTTGGTTCTTCTAAATCGTGGCTCTTCAGCATAAATGTCTTCTGAAATAAAAGTATTTTCAAAATTTCAAAAGTACTAATCTAATTGTGAACAGTAGTATATATGATTTTAAAATGTAGTTTAGACACCAGAGAATGCTTTTTCATCTTTTTATTTAGATAGATGAATTTAATGTTGTGGATCAAAGAATTAAGGAAAAATGAAATGATCAATGGGTTAAATAATACTTTTTAAAATTTAATTTTTAAGAAAGTGTATTAAAATAATTTCTAATTGTTTCAAAGTAGCATATATCTGTTGAGCATGATTTTTAGCATTCTCTGTTGGTTATAAATGGCAAGTTGGTGATAAGATTCAGACTTATATTTCTCAAAATATCTTTTGATAGGGATACAGTACTCCTATAAATTCTGCATTTACTTAACAAGAATTTATTTGTAGAAAGTTTTGTGGATACATGATGTATAGAATATCATATGATCTTTTAATATTTATATCTGGACTTAGGAGTTTTTTTGTTTTTATAACTAAATTCATTTGTTATGTCACAGTTTAGTGAAAGAACCAAAATTACCTGCATAATAGTTTACTGGCCTAAAATTTATGAATATTGGGATGTAAACTAACAGTGAGGGCAATACCATAAAATTTTGTGTCAATATATTTTATGACATAAAGCTTATTCTCTTTTTTCTTCTCAATAGTAATGATGGTGGTAACACAAAACATTCACTTCATTATTTTAACTATTTTTCTTACAAAAGAACCTGATGATAGAAGGATGTAAGAAAATGGGCTGTCAGAAAAAAATGTGTTTCATTTTTTTAGAAAATAAAAATGAAGAAAAAAGTAGCCACCAAAACACTATTAGTTTTCATTTCTGAATGTATTTTAGTATGTTAAATCCAAAGAGGCACTTTTCATTTAATAATGTGAATGTACCATTGAAAAAAGGTTAAGCATTTATTGTAAAATGATTATAGTATATAATACTGATAGTTTTTATTTTTTTCCTTTTCCAACTCTTGTCTAGAAAAGAACTGCAGTAATAAAATGAAATTGAGCTTCTTGGTTATTTTTCATGTGTAATATTTAAGAAGAGATTTAAAAATTATAACTAAAAACAAACTTATGTGTTATACATCATGTGTATTGCAAATAGAAGTTTTAATTTTTAAAAGCAGTATATTATGTAACCCTTTTGCCTACACAGCTAATTGAAATAAGGCATGTTAGTTTAGGGTTTTAAAGATACTTCCTTTTTATAAAGAATTCTTTCTTAGAAGCAGACCTTTAGATTTATATGCACTAATATTTTCATACATTTTATTGCTTAGATGATGAAATACTTTTTCATTGAAGACTCAAAGTTGGCATATCCACTGTCACAATTTTGTCATAGATTGCTTGTTTGCTCTAGTATTAAGAATCACTTATTTATTGATAAAAATAATCATATTGAATATATTTTTGAGATGTTCAACATTTTAAATATACAATAGTATTTTAACATTCCAAATTCCAATTAAGAATCTGTGATACTAAATATTACGTAATTATTATATACTTATAATCATTTCAGTTTACCACGATCCAACCTTTTTTTTATTGATGACAAACTTCTAGTATATATATATGTCTGTGTGTGTGTGAATACAGACACACACACACGCACACACACACACACACACACACATCTTACTAGCTTGTATTAACTTGTGTAGTATTTTTCATTTCTTAGGAAATGCTTTAGAAATTAAGAAAATGAAGAACTATACTTAGGTGTTTATTTTCTTATAAAGAACATTGAAAGAAATATTAATCATGTAGAAAAACTAATCACGGGAGAGATTCTAATTTTTTTGATTAGTGTGTAATAATCTGTTGTTTCTGTAGTATGAACAAAATACTTTTATTACCATAATGGTTATCACTAGTCATCTGTCTAAGTTACACCTTCACTTGTATAATAGTATGAAGGTGTGAGGGTTCTAGAGCCAGATAATCTGGGTTCGAATTCTGATTTGAAGAACCATTAGATATGTGTTCTTGAAAAGTAGGACTAAATTAGGTGTGCCATAATTTGCTCATTTTAAAAGGGAATAATTATTGCACCAATGTTAAAGATTTGTTATGCAGATTTATGAGCTTAAGACATTTAAGTTGCTTTGAATAATGCCCCACATAAAGTGCTCAAAATTGTTCAAGTAATATTTCAAGAACACATTTTATTAAGAATAGATAATTCTGAAAGAAAATATAATAACTGTTAGTTTTTTACTTGAATGTAGCCAGTTTATAATATTTAGTCCTTTGTACATTTGTACTTTCTAATCTCTGTTTCTCTATTTGTGTCATTGTTCATATGTAAATTGTTAATTAAAATAGCTATTCATGAAGGTATATTATATACGTGTGAGTCATGTAATTGACAGCTGGTAACTTGTTCTTTCATAAAGTATATTACCTTGACATATGGCAACTCATGACTAGAGTTCAGAATAACTTTATTTTCCTTTGAAGATCTTCTAGTTGATATGTTGGGGGTTCTTGCCAGCTACAGCATCACTGTCAAGGAGTTGAAGCTTTTGTTCAGCATGCTTCGAGGAGAAAGTGGAATCTGGGTAAGCTGTGGTCAGAGGGTAGCATATTTAGTATCACTTTGTTAATACTTTATATTCAGTAACTCATCCCTAGACAGCTGTGTATTTGAATTTATACTGGAAACTATTTTCCTCTTAAGCAATTTAGTAAATGATTTAAAATTAAATTCCTGTCTAGTTATTAAACAGTCCAATGAATAAAATGGTATATCAGGTATTATTACTAAATTTGTATAATGATTTTTTTTATTATATTCTCAGCCAAGGCATGCAGTAAAATTATTGTCAGTTCTTAATCAGATGCCACAAAGACATGGTCCTGATACTTTTTTCAATTTCCCTGGTTGTAGTGCTGCGGTAAGTTTAATTACATGTGTTTATTTTAAATTATTTTTAAGTTATTGAGCTCTTCTCACTTGCCTCTTCTGATTTGTGTTGCTGTATTTTTGCTTTTTCGGTACTTTTATATTTGTCTTATTTCACTTATAGTAATACTTTTGAGTAGTTCTTATAGCTTTCTTTAGGAGATTATTTTGTACCTTTTTATTCTGAGTATTGCATTTGATTGGTATGTCACTGTTTCTTTATCTACTGTGGGTGGGCATTTGGGTTTCTGGTTTTCAGCTCTTGTAAATAAAACTGCAATGAGCATTCAAGAAAAGGTTTTCCTATGGGCATATCTCTTAATGAAATGCATGAATGAGATTTCTGAGTTTTGTAGTAAGTGTATGTTTACCTCTCGAGAAACTGTCAAACCAATTTCTGTAATGACAAATTTACATTTCCAACAGCAGTGTGAGAATCTGAGTTGATTTGTATATTAAATATTTTTAGTATTTTAAATTCTAGTCATTTTAATGGTTTTATAATACTGTAGTTCTTTGTAGTTTTTTCTATTTGTCTCATGACCTATAATATTTTTTCATATGTTTGTTGCCTGTTCTTGCATTTTCTTTTGTTATATCTGTGTTCAATACTGTTCATTTAAATATTTGGTTGTCTTATTTCAATTAGGCAATAATTAGACCATTATTTTTGGGAATTGTATGCTTGTATATTAGATAAACACTTACCGAATATTTTCTACTAACTTGTGGCTTTTCTTTTTAGTTTCTTAATATTCTTTCGTTTATTAGTGCATGTTTGTTGTATATAATAGTTACACTATTTTGGTGAATTGGTACATAATATATGATCATTTTTCATCTGTTTACCACCCTCATCCTTATCCCCTGTCTCTCTTGGTTTTTTTTTTTTTTTTTTTTTTTTTTTTTAAATTTTATTTAAAGAAAAACTAAACAAAACAGAAAACAGGTAGAAATAATACATACTTTCAAAGAAAGAATAAACAGTAAGAAATCACTAGTTGATATTTACTTATTGTTCTTTTACAAGTAGCTATTCAAGATACAAAAATGGAGCATATAAAATGGGGATTCAAACAGCGAGACTGCAAACAGTTCTGTTCAACTATCCAACAAAAACTTAGTAATATCGATCCTATACACTTAAACATACATGCAGTTATCCTTATCTTCCTTATCTTCCTTATCCTTATCTTCAATTATGCTGAAATTGAAAAAACCCAAGTAGGATAAAATCACTCTGAACAAAGAATAATAGTATTGCTAGGTTTCATATTATGACACTCCTGGATCAGCATGGGGTACTGTAGTGTCTCTTTTTCTGCGAAATATTTGTTCATTTCATCATGTGTCACAAGATCAATTCTCATAAACTGTTTATGGGTTCTATGCATTCATGAGTCTTAACATGTATATCTATCCTTTCTATATTAGAGGGAGGAACAAAACAAAGCAAGACAAAACATTTACCTATAAACACATGAAATGAAAAAGACATAAAAGATTACTGTACAAGGAGTTCTACCATGGTTACTGTGTTGTCTCTAGTTATCTTCAATAGAATTGGCTATATCATCAGACATAGTATAATTGAATATATCAGTACATAACAGTATTAATAAAAACATAACTTTGTTATAGTGTAATACTTCAAAAATAGGTAGTAATCAAACCAGAATGGGTATCATAGTGAGTCCTGTCATCTTCAATGTAGTTGTCTATACTGCAGATTTGATACTGTCCATCATACAAGTTTTGAATAAAATCTGTTGATATAAGCAGCAATCAAACAAACCAGATTTAACTAAGATCAGTCATGATAAAGCAGTGTAAGTCATGCAGGGCTCCAGATTAAGTTAATAGGAAATTAAAGATGATTACTATGCTACATCCTGATGTTTTTGGGATAGCTGTCCGTGCCCTCAAATCTAATGCAATTAAACAAACTGTAACAGAATAAAATCTAAGCAGAGTGGTGTGAGTAATATAGGTTTTAATTCCTGATACACTATTAACAATACCTTCTGCCATCTTTTTTAAAACTATTTCTCCCTTTTCACTTCTCCAGGGTGCACTGTGCATTTTTGGGTCTCACCAAGACCCTCGGTTTTAAATTGCGGGTGGAGGGGCAACCTACTATTTACCTAAGTGGTTCCGAACCTTCTCTCTCCTAGACTTGATCTCTAATTGTATTCCTTTACGTATTAAAGCCTGTCTTTCCAACCTATCCACAAGTACTGGTCTAGTTGCCCCTATTACTTTATGGTTCCCTGTCACATAGAGCATTGTTTTCTCATATTTGATTTTCAGTCCATATACCCTTTTTCAGGTTAATTATATTTCCTGTAAAGAGCATCTCAGCGGACCCTACCTCCTGATCTATTCTCCCTGTGATTCTTCTCTCTTTTTAATTTAGTGTATCAAGGCCATCTATATTAGCAGTTATAATCACCCTTCTCTGCCTCATTTCTGTTAGGCCCTTTTTTTGCCGTTAGTTGTCTGCTTGTCATCTTAATTCTGCTTTTTGCTCTATTCATTAAGGCCTCTCTGCCACTGTTGCTGGAATCCTGGTACTTTTCTCTCTCTCTAGAATGTCCTTCAGTATTCTCTGTAGATTTGGATTGGTAGTCGCGAATTTCCCTGGTTCCTCTTTGTCTTGGAAACATCTTGTTTGTCCCTTAATTTCTAGAGAGAATTTTTCAGGGTATATCAATCTGAGCTGGAGGTTATTTTCTTTCAGGGCTTGGAATATTTCCCTCCAAGCTCTTCTTGATTTGATAGTTTGTGTTGAGAAGTCTGCCATAATTCTGATGGTTCTTTTTTATATAAGTGATCTGTTTATTATCTCTAACAGCTTTTAATATTCTGTTCTTATATTGAATTTCTGGGATCTTTATTATTATATGCACAGGTGTGTCTCTATCTTGGTTGTAGGTGGCTGGAGTTCTGTATGCCTCATACATCTGTATGTCATTTCTTTTGCCTATGTTTGGGAAGTTTTCCTTAATTATTTCTGTGAATAGCCTTTGTAGTTCCTTTGTACCCCTGCTTCTTCATTCACATTCTTTATTCTTAAGTTGTTGATCCTCTTGTCATTTTCTAGCCTTTGTATTGTTACTATTTGTTCCTTGTTATTTTAAAAAAGTTTTTCCTTTCATAATCCCACATTGCAAATCTGTCCTCCAGTTTGGATTATCTATCCTTAGTTTCTTTCAAGCAGTTTTGCCAGCTTTCAATGGAGTTTTAAATTTCCTGGTAATCTCTTTGAATCTGCTTCATGTATTCTGTATTTTCTTTATATTCTTCATCAAATGGTTCTCTCCTTTGTTTGTATTCTTCCATTCTTCGTCTGTGTTGTCTTGAGAGGTGCTTAGCATTTCTTTTATTAAATCTATTTATATCTTGCTTTACTTGGTTAAATATTTCCCTTTTGAACTCGTGTATGAGGTCCCGAAGAGAATTCTTTATGTTCACTGATGTATGTTTGCTGTCCTCAATCTCTTTTGTATTTACCTTTCCTGGATCTATGTTCTCAGGGTTGGGGCCTTGGGGCTTTTTCTTATTGCTTCCTCTTCTCATATTTTTTTATTTCTTCCATACAGGTATATAGAGGAGGCCCCTGTCACTTTTTCTGTTGTTGTTGTTGATTCTGGTTCTTCTGAAGCACTCTAGCTAGGAGATACTGCCTACTCCAATAGCTATTGAGGTGCAAATAGGGACAGCCACAGAATATGTTGGCCCCTCCCCTCGGGGTCAGCCAGCCCGCAGAGGCCTTTAGTGTGCACAGCATGTAGGGAATTGGTCTGGGACACCCTACTGGTTCCCGGCCAGGGTCATGACCTAGGCCAAGCACATCTGACCAATCCTGTCTTGGAAGGGAGCAACTGACTGAAGTCTGTGCAATACCTTGTTTCTGCCAGTCCTGCCTGGTTCCAATATGTCATCCCCTTTCCCGTAGAAAGGTTTTATTCCTAGCACTCACCACAGGTTAATGCAGGTCCCCTACTGGCTCTGCTCTCCGTTGGTCTCACTGACCCCTGACCTCAGTGGGCCCGCACCCCAGCGTGACCGCGGCTCCAGTGAGTCAAAGTGGCAGGAGCCCGGGCAGTTCGTGAGTGACATCCGTGTGAGTTAGGACACGCCATCCAGTGTAGTTCTCTGGTTTGCTGTTCCCTTTTGTCCTTCTGTCTCCCCACCAAGGCCTTCAGTGTTACCCGCCACCAGCTTCACTGCGCCCGTGCATCTCCAGGTTCCAACAGTGCTTCTGGTACAGTGGGACCAGCTCTGGTGAGAGCTACCACCTTCTTCTGTTAACGTGTTTCTTTTTTAAAATTCTTTCTGTGGGCTTCAATTCTCACTTTAGTTTCTTCCTGGGTTAAGAGGACCTATGTCTTTCCTGCTTTTCCTTCTCCAGAATTATATTCCAGCATCTGGGCGGTTTCTCTCAGAGAGGCTTTTTAATTTGCTGCTTACTGTTCCACCATCTTCCTAGACTCCTTATACTCTGTCTGATTTCCCAAAAATCTGTCTTTTTGTTACCTACCATCTTCCTTTTATTTCACTCTTTTACTTATTTATATTTTGGATGTCTTATGTAAGAGAGGTCATGTGATGTTTAACTTTTCCATGATCCTGCAAGTGGTACAATCTTGTTTTTATTCATGATTGTATATTTCATATATCACATTTTCTTTATCCATTAATATGTTGATGGGCATCTAGGCTGTTTCCAGAGCTTCCTAAAATTGATGTGGTCCAATTAAAATTTTCTTTGTTTTATGATAGTGCTTTTACATGCTAAGAAATCTTTCACAGCCAGGGTGATAGTACTTTGTTAAGATTTTTTAAAAAGAAGTTCTATTGTTTTAACTCTTATAGTTTTGGTTTCTTTTTATGAACTATTTTTATATGATGTGAGCAAAGTTGGGATTAAGTTTTATTTGGTTACATATGAATTTGTTGCATTACCATATATTGAAGATATAGTCCTTTCACTTTGTTTTACCGAAAACATTTGTTGACAATTATTTGATCATATTTAGGTACATCTATTTCTGTCCTCTTGTTTTCTTGGTCTATATTTTTATTCCTATGCCAATGTCATATTTTCTTCATTATACTTGTATAGTTAGTAGTTCTTATAACTAGATAGTCAAATACTCCAATTTTGTTCTTAACATTTAGAATAGTTTTGGCTATTTTAGAATGTCTACAATTTTATTTGCATTGTTAGAAAAACTTGTCAGATTTTATTAGAAAACCTACTATGGGGCTGAAGCTGTAACTCAGGATAAAGTGCTTACTTAAGTAGGAAAGAGACCCTGGATTTCATCAGCAGCACTTTTGAAAAAGGAAAGAGAGGAAGGAAAAGGCCTGTCATGGTTTTTTTGGTGTGAGTTAAGTCTATAGAATAATTTGGAAATTATACACTATTTTAGTATTGCTGAATCCATTAGGTTCACAGACATTATCTCTCTAGTTTTCTTTGGATTTTCAGTGTTCTGTTGTTACCAACATTTTAGCATAAAACTCGAAGAGCAGCCTGTCTTGATATGTTTTTGTCTATTTTTTTATTAATACAGTATATAGCTTATAATTTGAGCCATAGTTCATCTGAACAATGAAGCTGATAATGCACAAAATATTAAGACAATTTATTAGGATTTGGAGATGCAGGGGTATTTAAAATATGGAGAAAAGGGAATGCTTTCAACTACTTTAGTGATAGCTGTAATCAGCTAGTTTTACCTTCCTGTGTTTCCATGTTGTATTATCACCAACACTTGTGTTTATTTAATGTTGATTCCAGTAATATTCCCTACCACAGTTATTTTTCTTTCACATTCTGGCTCTTGTAATCAAATGAAATATTTCTGAAAGCTAGCATAAATTATAGAAAATGAAAATCCTAAGGCTTATTTATAAAGAATCACATATTTGTGAAATTAGAGGGGGGCATCTGAAGTATAGTCCAAAACCAACTATGTTACCTAGATGACAATTGAGTGTATGAAAACTATGTTTCTATAATCAAATAATATCTGCATAGATTATGTAAATAAAATATTAGTTTCCGTCTTCTGTGGCTCATGATATTTTGAAATTTATGTAATTTATGTATTTTTTATTCTGTAAAGTATGGATATGACCTTACTGATTTCATGTTTTCTTTAACTGATACTTTGTCCTTTTTTCATCACTTTGTAGGCAATTGCATTGCCTCCTATTGCAAAGTGGCCTTATCAGAATGGCTTCACACTAAATACTTGGTTTCGTATGGATCCTTTGAATAACATAAATGTTGATAAGGATAAACCTTATCTTTATTGGTAAGTAACATGTTCCAATTTGGAACTTTTGACTTTAAGTATTTTGGTTTTTAAATGTTATAATTAGTAACAAGGCTACATATAAGATGGACTATATATAAAATATGTATGTAATACATGTGTTGAGACTATGAAGACTCAGTTGAATAAATTTTATTTATTTACTTTTTTGCTATTGATTCTAGGTGACCCTGCCTCCCTCCCACTCCCATACAATCTAAAAGGCACAGGTTGCAGACTTTCCTGGCCAGTCTGCTTCAATGCAGATCAGTGGGGGAGCATTTGTGAGACTGGGCCTTGACCTAGGGAAGAATAAACAAACAGATTAACTCACTCCCAATTTGATTTCCCTTTGCCTTTTCACATATTTTGTTCTGTGATCATAACTGACATATGCTTTAAAAATTATTAATAACCATGTAAGAAATTATAATGAAATAAAATTTGACAGTTATTTTTTCTTATTTTGATTAAAATATATAGTTATTTGGTGAAATAAATTATTTATAAGTTAATTCTGCTTTTCTCTCTAAAGATCTTCTCAAAGGCATAGTGAAATTAGAAGCATAGTTAGTCCTTATGCAAAGTATTTATAGGTATGTAAATGAGTTTTGTATTAGCTAATTAAAGATGGTTTTTAGAATTAGATGAAATCTTTTGTTAGGTTTGTGTTGATTATTTGTTTCTATGTATTTGTGATATTTTTTTCAATAAATGAGAAAATATTTATTGGTTAAAGGATTCCATGTACTATGAATAGAATGGAAAGTTCCTAACAACAGCAAGTTGGTGAACTGAGGATGGCAGAGATAATACAGAATTGGTAGGAAGAGCTGAATCTCCTGAACAAAAACAGGAGACTAAGTTATGACACTGATTTTGGAATATTTTCAATTAGTTTGCCATCATATATTTCTAAATACAAGTCCCGTGTCTAGGGTCTGGATTTGAGGACAAGTGAATCAGCAGCAAACAAGTAATTAAGGAGCAGAAAGTAATATTAGCAGAAGATCCTCTGAAAATTTGCTTAGAGTTATTAGGTTTTTACTACTGCAGGAGCAAAGCAGTAAGGATGAATACCATCAGCACTTTTCTCTGTTTCTTCTCAGCAATTGAGGTCTCAGCTCTCTCTTTATAGTCCACAACTTTACTGGACCTTCCTTTTTGGCCAAACTCATCATGTTTTAAGTCATCCTGCTGGGTTTTTTGTTCTTGATTCACAACATAAATCTGGCAAAAACTCCTCAAAATAGCCATGCCACTGCCTCAAAATTACACTGCCTTATAATTTCTTCTGCCAGATTTGTTAGTCCACTGTCCTTAATCTTAATCTTAGGCAAATTCTCTGGACATGAGCAAAATGCAGAGAAATGCTTCCAAGCCATAACACATGCCACCTGGATTTCAGCATCCAATGCAATCCCAGCAGAAACTTCCTGAGCCTAGTCTTTACTGGCAGAATTTCTGTCCACCTTCTGATCTCCTGAGCTCTGATCAGAATCTCTCCTACAGAACAGCCTAAGCTGTTTTAGCACCTCTCTTTCCGGATATATCTCCGAACCATTCCAAACTCTTCCCACAAGGCATTCCCAAAGGAGATCCACATGGCCAGGTACAATAACAATTCTTTCTTGGTTACTTTTACTTTTCTCTCATTCCTGAAATAGAACATCTGACACCCAAAATAAAGGAAAAAAAGGTTTATTTCTCTTACAGTTTTAGAGGTTTCAGTCAATAATCAGCTGACTCTAAAGCAGGGTGGCATGACACAGGAGCAACACTTCAAATCAGCAGCCAGAGCAGTGAAAAGAAGAAAACAAGCCTCTTCTCCTCCCTTACATTGTACACAGCACAACCTCCCGCATCTCCAGGGAGGGTGTAGCACTCAAAAGTTCCTCCCTCTCCTTTGCACAGGATGAGGATGTTTACAAAGTAAAAACCCTTGGTGTCAATGGTGTGTTAAGATCTCCTGTCAGAATTGTATTACTACTGATTTGGTTTTTCATTTCTGTTAGTACTTGTTTTATATAACTGGGTGCTCTGGAGTTTGGTGCATATATATTTAAAATAGTTATATCTTCCTCTTGGAGTTTTCCCCTAAAAGTATGTAGTGACCTTCTTTATCCTTTCTAATCATTATTGGCTTGAAGTTGACTTTGTCTGCAAACAGAATAGCTACCCCAGCTTTTTTGGGGGGTTCCTGATGCTTGGAATGTTGTTTTCCATCCTTTGACTTTGAGTCTGTGAGTATCCTTTTGAGTTAAGTGGGTTTCTTGTAAACAGCATATGGTTGGATTTTGTTTTTTGATACATTCTGCCAGTCTGTTTCTTTTAATTGGTGTATTGAAACCATTTACATTGATAGTAAGAACTGTTATAAATTGGTTTATTGTTGACATATTATCTTTCTGGCATTGCATGTTTATCTTTCTGCTCTGTTCAACTGTCTGCTTTGTTTAGTAGTTTTTTCCTAAATGTATCTAGGCTGTCTTTCAGTATTCTTTGCAGGGTTGGCTTGGTGATCATGAAGTTTTTCAGCTGATCTTTGTCATGGAAGTATTGTATTTCTCCATCAAATTTGAAGAACAGTTTTGCAGGGTACATCAGCCTAGGTTGAAAATCATTTTCCTTTAGGATCTGAAATACATCACTCCATGCTCTTCTTGACTTTATTGTTTGTGCTGAGAAGTCTGCTGTAATTCTGATAGGCTGTCCTTTATAGGTGATCTGTCTTTTCTCTCTGACAGCCTTTAATATTTTATTCTTTTGTTCAATTTCTGAGATGGTCATTATTATATGTCTGGGTGTGGATTTATTTTGGTTGTGATTATTTGGAGATCTATATGCTTCATTGATCTTGATACCAGTTTCCAATCTCATGTTTGGGAAATTTTCAGCTATTACTTCTCTAAATATCCTCTTGACATCCTTTATGTTGTCTCCTTCTTTTTCATTTATCCCTATCAATCTTATGTTGTTTCTCTTTGCGTCATCCTGTAGGTGCTGAATTGTTATTTCCTGATTTCTTGTTATTTTTAAAAGATCTTTTCTTTCCTGTTCACTTGTTGCAATCCTGTCTTCGAGGTCTGAGATTCTATCTTCACATTCATTGAGGCGGTTTTTACAACTTTCAATGGAGTTTTTGATTTCCTGGATATCTCTTTGCATCTGTTTTATGTATTCTGTTTGCTTCCTATACTGTTCATCCATGGATTCTATCCTTCCGTTTAGTTCCTCTAATTTTTTAACTGCCTCTTCTTTAGCTATGTTTAGTATCTGCTTCATTTCTTTTATCAATTCTTCTTTCATCTGAGAGAATATTTCTAGTTTGAATTTCTTCATGGCTTCCAATACTTGCGTCTTTATTTCAGTTACCATTATTTCAGGTATTTCAGTCATGTGGCATGTATTTTCTTCTATGCACATGGCTCCTGGACTTTCTTGGGATGGGCTGGATGTTTGAGATTGCATTTTAGACTTTCGTTTTGTCATTTTCCTGTATTTGGAAGCTTCAAGTGTTGTTCCAGGTGTGGGGGAGAGATCCACCAGCCTTATAGATCTAGAGAAATCACTCCTAAGGTTCATCTGGAACCAGAAGAGACCAGGAATAATGGGCTCTACCTGTGTCCTTGAATACATGCAGTTTACAATAAGGTCCCGAGCTCCTCAAATAACAATGGTCGAACTCACAATCAGGAAACTTGTCATGATATGCTCCTCCAGAACCAACAGCGCAACATAGCAACATTTAGAGAAACCTATAACGCCTGTATTTGTGATAGTTTAAATTGAAATATTCAAAGCTCAGTTATTTTATTTCATATTTAAATTAGTTGCTTCCTAGTTTAAATTTTTTATCTAGCTAATTAAACATTTTATATTTTAATTATTTGGTACATATTAAATTAGAAGGAAATAAGCTTAATTGTTATACAAAATAATTTTGATCGACAATAGCCATATGCTTCTTTTTTCAGTTTATTATTGTTTTATGATTCTCTTTACAGTTTTCGGACTAGCAAAGGAGTTGGTTATTCTGCACATTTTGTTGGCAATTGTTTAATAGTTACATCTCTGAAGTCTAAAGGAAAAGGTTTTCAGCACTGTGTGAAATATGATTTTCAACCGCGGAAGGTAAGTAAAAATAAATATTTTTGCTGAATTCATCTTTCTTTTATGTTAATTTTTTTCTGAAATGATTTCTGTAATAGTCTCTTAAACTGGTTTTCTTAGGACTTAATGCTTTTGTCTTATTCTTGTGTATATTTTCTTTTTACTTTTATTTATGACTTTTATAAGACAGTCTTTCAAAATCTTGTATGTTTCTTCATGTTCTACAGAATTCTTTCAAAAATATTGAGTAGTTGATGAGTGGGCAACACTCTTGTAAGCACTAGTGCACAGCAGTGAACTAATCAGAAAATATCTCTGCTTTCACAATGCTTAACATTGTATTTGGAATTTTTATTCAATTTCATGACAACCTACCACTCTTACTCTTATCTTCAGAGCTCTGTTCTTGTATTCTTATCTAGTGTGCAGTGTTGCCATCTGAATTTCTTTTGGATCTGGATCTCAGAATACGTAATGATGAATAAACTATTTCCTGTCCCATATTTACTCATGTTCTGGAGTCCTCTGATTAAGATATCTAACATCTTCATAATAATCAGGACTTGAGTTACTTTGTTCTTCCCTCTCTGTTTTAACTGTATATTAGTTTGATTTTTACAACACGTATTGTATCTCCGAAAATATTTATCTTTTAAAATTTCTTTACTGGCTGCTTAAGTCATTGATACTGCTCTTCTTTCATTTTGGATGATTTGCTGTGCTTATTAATATCTGATTTCTCTTTCTGATTATATTTCTTTGCTTTAAGTCATTATTTACCTCTCACGAACTACAGAATAGACTAAATTTTTAATCTTAGTTCTTTATGGTTTGAAAGTTTTGTTTCATTTTATTACCTTTTTCAATTATGTATTCAGTATGTGATATGAAATACATTAACTTATCTCCTTGCTCATAGCTCTAGGTTTTCAAATTCTATTATTATAATAGAATTTGGTGTGTTCCATGTTATATGACAACATTTTTATATAATGTCTTCCTGGTTAACCTTGATTCCACATTTAATTAATGTTCCTCAGATCACTTCAGTATTTGTGGCAGTTATTTTACTTAAACTTTCATTATTCATTTATAATTATTTAGTGATTACTTATACTAAGAGTTTTGTGTTCTCTCAAATATCCAGGAGGGAGCATTGAACTCAGCAGATTACAAGTAAGATATATCAGATAAATGAATAAAATATGACTTTAATAACCCAAAACACTTATTTTCTTAAGGAGTAACATTTATTTCGACAGTGAATATCTAAATTACATGGAACAATTTATTTCCTAGTAGAAGGTGATTGATGGGGAGTTATTACTCATAAAGTCAAAAAAAGTAGATCTTAGACTTGTGATCAGTATTTTTCTGATAGGTAAGGATGCCAGTGATCTTTGCCATGTGGTAGTAAGTACAAAGATAGTCAGGATAATAAAATCCAAGTTATTTGCTGTTGTATAGTACTCATTTAAAAACTAGAAGTTTACTCTTTTAGGGGTACAATTTTGTGTAATGCAAAAATAAATAATTTTGTGTGTTATATATAGAGAATTAGAGTGTTATTAAAGAAATTAAGAGATTTTATACTTTTTGAGAAAGTATTTTACACAGGCTTAATGGAATATGTACAGGCTTGTTTATAATGCACAGAGGTGGTACATACTTTTATATTTTCATTCTGATACTAATATTTTGGTGTGTATTTTACATAATTTAATCATACTAATTATATCTTATAATTTATATACAACATGTAAATTAGATATAAATTATGTACTTAAGATTTTTGAAGCTTTTAAAATAGTCATGTTTAATAATTATACTATGAATCAAAGATTTTTTAAAGATGAACTTTTATATGTGAACTGTACTTTACTTTGATTGCAGTTCTGAAAAGTTATATTTGAACACCAGTTAAAGAAATGTTGCTTTAATTGCCATTCATTTTTGTTCTCCTTTCTTAGTTTTCCTTTTCCAATTTTGCTTCTCCTTCTTTATGCTCTTCCTCTTACCCATTGTTTTCACCTTTCTTCTTCCTGCCTTGTCTCCTTCTTCCTCTTTTTTGCCTTTCTTTTCTGTTCATTCTTTGAATAATTAGAACCAGTTTTTGACCAGAGATTCAGATTTTAGACCAATGAATGTGTTGGTGTGTGTGTGTGTGTGTGTGTACATGCAGGCATGTGTGCGTTTATGTTATGTGTGCATGTGTATTTATGTGTGTGTGGTGGAGATGTGTATGCCTAGGGTTTATAAATAATTGTTTGTTTAAATAAAAGTTATTTGTTAAATCTCCTGGCTTAATATGGTGCACAGGCTTTTTTGGAAGAGGTTTATCTAATTTCAGTAGTTCTGTCCTTTACTTCTTAAGATTGAACATTTTGCTGTTTCAGTAATCATGCCTTTAAAGAAAGAGATGTTTCTCTACTATTAGTTTTTGGCCATGGAATATATTTTTACTTAATAGCCCATAGAATTGTAAATACAAGCTTGAATCTTTTTTTGAAAAATGCTGTAAAGGTAATATATAACAAGAAAAAGAGAAATTTACAACTATATGTATCTGAGTTAAAATACATAATTCATTTACCATCAGTTTGTGTTTGCTAGAGGTATGTTCCTACCTATTAACCAGGCTCTTCTTTGTGTCAGAGAAATCAACTGTGTGACAGTTCTAACAAGGATAAAGTACGGATAGGATTTTCTATTCCCACATGATTAAACACTGCTCCCCTCTATGGGTTCAACTTTAGTTCCATAGTTCAGTGTATTACATAGGATTATCAACCTTTTTTTTTTTTTTAAGGCCGTGGGAATATTGCATTTCTGATACAATGAACCTATAGCATCTTGTTTTACTATTTCTCGTGTCATTTTTTTATTATAAAGTTCACCCTGCCTAGGATAATAAATCATCTGGAGTAGTAAGAACTGAAGAAATACATTTTGAATGAGCATTGTTTGATATTAAAGACATCAATAAATATAACACATATGATAAAGCTATCTTTGAGCAGGAAAATTTTGCCTCTTTATAGGTATTTATTTATGTCTGTTTACATATTTTAAAAATTTTGCTCAAATATTGATTGCATGTTTTGTTACACAGATAATATTATGGTTGAATATACTGAAATTCACTGAATATGATTTATATAAATTTTAATTGTTACATATATAAAGTCTATAACATTATTCTTAAATTTGTTTGAACTGTAGTTTTTATAGCTTCTTCCAGATAATTTTGTAATATTCAAAAGCAGATTTGTTAAATGATCACATTAAAGATTTGTCTGATTTTAGTTAGGACAGATGTACATGTTGTTTTCTGATCAAGTAAAAGTCTCAGTTTATAATAAATTAGAGATTATCTAAAATGAAACAAGTTAAAAAAAGTAACATGTTTTAGTTATTTAAATGGTTTACCCTGACCCTTTTTATAACTGGGGAACATGATTATTTTCACTTGTTGTCTTTTCTAAATCATACACTGCCACTATTTTTATTTTCTAAGGAGAAATCAGTGAAATTGCATTTTGCTTAAAATATTTCAGGTTTCATGGAATATTTAGAATTTTAGTGATCAAGTATTACTGTTGTAGTTCTTAATATATGAAATAATTGATTAATATGTATAAATTATCTGTAGAATAATGTACATGTTTTTTTTTTTAATTTGGGCAAGGAAAAACTTGCCTAATTTTCACCTTAACTCCTGAAGGCATATTTATTCAAATATAATATATATATATTATAATATATATAATATTTTCCATACTTTAGAAAAATAGTTTCTGTATTCTCCACTTTAGGCAGTTAACTTTGAAAAGACTTAAGTGTTGTATACATTTTATGTCCTAGCAAAATTGACTGTTTTTTTTTTCTTTTCTTTTTTTTTTTTTTAAACCAGTACCAGGGATTGAACTCATAGCCACGCACTTGCAAGGCAGGTGCTTATGCCGCTGAGCTAAATCCCCAGCCCCTAAAATTGATTGCTAAAATGACTTTTGCTGATACAATTATAAAATGGGAACTCAAGATGAACTCATTTATTGATTCTTAACAAGTATTTACACATTACTAAATTAAAATATATAATTATTATTGGATATAATAAATTTAAGAGTTATAAAATCAAAAACATGTAGATCTTATTAGGAATGTTGTTATAAACGTTAACTTTTGACAGATTTTTTTCCTGATCCTGCAATCCAAAGTAGAATATTAGGTTATTCTTTCTCAGTTTATTGTATTCTCTCATGGTAATCATCGTAATTTGCAATTCTCTGCTTATTTGTTTCTTGAATGTCCATTTTTGACAAGAACATAAATCCCAAGAAAACTGGGCCCGTGTTGTCTGTGGCCAGCTCTATGTATCTGAAGAGCTTGGCACAATGTGTAAACGTTATTACATGAAAACAACAAATATAATTGTATTTTCACAGTTTTTGATCTTGATATGTTGGAAGGGGACTGTCAGTCTGGGGAGCTAGGAGTTTGACTGTCTGCATTACGGGTTTATTTATATGCTGTTATCTGTCATTTTTAAAGTGAGATATGGGAGAAGGGAACTTGATAGTACATGCTCACTAATAGTTCACCAGTCATTTTCTTAAAGGATATTTTGAAGGTCTGACTATATTTTGGATAATCTTTATCTTGATATTCTTAATTTTCTTTTTTTAAGTGGTATATGATCAGCATTGTCCACATTTACAATCGATGGAGGAACAGTGAAATTCGGTGTTATGTTAATGGACAACTGGTGTCTTACGGTGATATGGCTTGGCATGTTAATACAAATGATGTAAGCTTTAAATTTTTATTCTGTATTCTAATGTCCTTGAGACTGTGATCTGTCCATATAACATGAAGTGAAAACACAGCTTGATAGAAACAATTGAATGTTACTTTGAAATTTTTTTAATTAAGTAAAACTTAAAATTTAAATTTACTATAATAAAATTGCTAAAAAGATATGGTTAATGATATTAAACCAAAAATTACTTGGAAAGTTTTTAAGTATTTTAGCTCAAGAAACATAAGTATAGTATTCTGCTCCTTCCATAGTCTAAACACCAAAAAATGTGTCTTACCTCTTGTATGGATGTGGAAGGAAAGGAAGGATTTAAACAAAATGAATAATATGTAATCAATGTTATTAAGATGGTAAAAAAAAATAGTGCAAAGTGGTTGCCAGGTATAGAAAGTAATGTAGGGCAAAGAGAAATTAGATTGTTCAGGAATGATTTAAGTGAGAATTTAAACAAATCATGTGGCTGTTTGGGGACATATCATCAGTGGGAGCCCTGGGTACGAAGCCCATCAGGTAGAACTGGAAAGTTCAAGGAACAAGGCAGCCAGTTTGGAGTGAAGAAGGAAATGGACACAGAGTACTGTGCAGAGATAAGATTATACAGGTGCTAGGGAGCCAATTGTGTAGGGTTTTGTAATCAAAGCCTGGACTTTCCCCTCTTAACCTGTGTAAAAAACCTTAGAAGATTGTAGAGGACAAGCAATGTCTGCTTATTTTAAAAGCATCAATCTGGCTGCATTATTGAGAATACCCTGGAGGGAATGACGTAAAAGCAAGGAAGTTAGTTATTGTGGTAATAATAATAGTTTCGACCAGCATGGTAAACCTGGGGCAGGTGACAGTTGGCCCCCAGCTAAAGATCTAGAATTGAAAACTCAAAGCCATTCACCATTTCTCAACATCTACTGTTGCAGTGTATCTAGTTTATAGTACCTTAAAAAGAAATCCATTTCTCAATTCTATTATGCATCTCTTTTCAACCTTAATATCCTGAAAGGTAGAGGTCATACTGTGTTCTCTTGTTTTATCTCTTAAGTAGCACTGTGTGAATAGTCCAATTCATTTCCTGGCTAAATCTGGCTCATAGTCTGTTTCTGTATGACCTGGTAGCTAAGAATCTTGTTTTTTATGTTTGATTTTTTTAAAATGACATGATCAGAACAGAAAAAGTCAAATAATACGCAGCAGAAATGGCACGTGGCTTGTTAAATCTAAAAATTCCTGTAAAAGATTTTTTTGTTTCTGTCTTATGAACTCATAAATTGAGCCATATTCAAAAAATAGAACAATTTTATCAGAATTGGAAAACACATTAAATTGTGATTTCTGTCTTTGTACTTAATGTCATTAGTTGATAAGACGATACATTTTTTAGAAAACTTAAATTTCTGAATTACTTGTGATGTACTTCAAGAAATAGAAAAGCCTGGGCACATGTATATAGTTTATGAAGGGGTAACATCTTTGACTTTGATAGTTTTATTTGCAAGTTATGTACTTGAGTTTACCTTACTGGACACTAGTCACATTGTTGTAAAATTTTGTTGAGGCACTAAAAGGAAATTAGATGTGGAATATCATTTGTTGATAGAAGAAATTGAGCAGTGATTGTTTTAACTGCTGTGAGTTGAGTGGGTTGTTCTGTTGTGTTTTAATTTTTAGATAGATTTTCACTATGCAGTTCAGACTGATCTTGAACTCACTTTGTAGCCCAGGCTATCCTCGGACTCACAGTGATCCTCCTGCCTCAGCTTCCAGAATGCTAGGATTACGGGTGTGCACCACCATGCCTGGCAAGTGGGAATTTATTAGTGTGTATGGAAGAGCCTTTTTAAGCATGGCTTTCTAAGGTGTCAGATCCGGCAGATGGAGAGCACTCTTCTCTTAGATAGCAGATTTGAATAGTTAGTGTTTATTTGGTTCCTTATAAGGTTTACTCATGTAAGAGAAGGAACTGATTCTCTTGTACTATTTTTTTTGGGGGGGGGGTCTTTTTCCTTTTTATCGGTACCAGGAATCGAACTCAGGACTGCCTGCTTGTAAGGCAGGCGCTTATGCTGCTGAGCTAAATCCCCAGCCCCTTGTACTATTTATTTTGTGTGAGAAAAAGAGAAGTTCATCCATAAAGGAGAAGAGAAATGCAATTTTAAAAATTAGGCCGTGTGAGTTTACAGTTTATAAATAGTAATTTTCTAAATTCAAATGAATTTATTTGAAAATATGAAGTACTACCTGTTTTACAAGTAGTTTTGCTTTCTTAAAATAATTAAAAATGCTTTTTGCCTGTAATGGTAACATTCGGTTAGTAATCAAGTCTGAAGAAAGGTGAGATAGTTGTTTAAATATAAAGCACTTAAGTGATTTATTTTCTGTATAAATCCTTATTGGCTGCTATTTAAATCATCCATAAAATATGAATTGATATTTATTCTCTGGTTAAGATATTTATGGTGATACAGTCATTCTTCACTATTTCATCATTATGAAATAATAATTTGTTTTTTTTTTTAACCTTTGAAAAATAGAGCTATGACAAGTGCTTTCTTGGATCGTCAGAAACTGCTGATGCAAATAGGGTATTCTGTGGTCAACTTGGTGCTGTATATGTGTTCAGCGAAGCACTCAACCCAGCACAGATATTTGCAATTCATCAACTAGGACCTGGGTATAAGGTAGGAATAACTATCTTATTATAAACTGTAGGAAGTTTTAATGGTAAAATGGTGCAGCATAATATTTAGTAAAGAGTCTTTCTTCACTATGATTTAAGTCATATCTATTTTTGGAACTCAGGTATTGTGATTTTTATTTTTATTAAAAGGTGCTTTTTCTCTTTTGGAATAACTTTTACTTTGATGAACTTGTTTGTTCTTCAGGATTTTTATAATGTTAGAAGCATACATTTTGTTATCAATTTTGAAAAATAAATTTTATAAAATGACTACCTACTACGTTCTTTGAACTCTTAAATTTTGAACTGCATACATTATATACTGAACATGAGAAATGTCTTAGTAACTTAGAGGTAATGGTAAACTATAAATATTTAGAAGGAAGTATTATTAAATGTTACATGAGACTGAAATTATTCAGTTTTAGTGTCTGCTTTTGTTTGACCTTTGTAGTAGATGAGGAAATTGATAATGAGTACTGTAAACCAGTTCTTTAATTTATTCATCATGTTTTTCCTGTTTCTTATTTAATTTTGTCTAAAAAGATAATTTTGCTTTTTATTTGTCTTGAAGGCTTTTATGCAAGATATAGCATTCCCAGTTATGAATTAGTTTATTTTCAGTGTGCAACAAAGTTGGCTTAGGGAAATATGTATGGATTTTCTTTCTTTCCAACATTTCAAATACTTGCAGCTGAGAGAGAATTCTTTATTGTAAGTAAATGATCATAATTTTTAAAGAGTACATTTCTCGTTTTGAAGTGCTTTTAGTTTTTTAAATTTAATATTTAAATAATGGCAAGATTATGGTACAGAAGGAGAATACTAAACATTAAGATATTCTTTCTTTTGTTCTTATGTTTTTATATTGATACTTGTTCGTTTTATCTTAGACATGTAAGCAACAGTTTGAAATTATCCTTAGTAAAAAGTTGTGTTCTTGTTATTCTGATAACTATAATATCAGTAGTAGTCCTGTTATTTTTATGTCTAAGTGACAGTTTTGCTTCTTTTATCCAGTTCATCTTATTTATTTAATAGCTCTAGATATGAATTTGTGCTGGTAAGGCCATATTTTTTCTTGTATGGGTCTTTTTGTTTTGTTAAATCTATTTCTGCCTTATGTGGACTTGCATGGGAATCTTTCTGTAATTCATATTTTTAGATTAATAGACAGCTGGTTTTTCCTGTCTCTTTACCTTGTCCACACAATACTTGAGCTAGTTTCCTTTCTAGGATTAATATAGTTAAGAGTAACAAATAACAAAATATAAAGGTAAAAATTCAAGAAAAATAGATATGCAAACTGTAGATTCAGTATAGTGTTGTTACTGTGCTTAAGCTTCAGAATTGAGGGGATCTTTCTCAAACCAAAAAAGAGAAAGTGTTAAGTATAAGTGGTTACATTTTTTTTCCATTCATAAGGTAGCAAAAATTGTTCTGAACAGCTTTGCAAACTTAGTAATTTGTCATATGAGTTTCTCTGGTCACATTCATTTGTAACACCTAGGAACCTAAGCAGTATTCTTATGTTACCTTGTTGTATTTGCAAGAACATGTATGATACAGTTTCCTCTGATCCGGCCTGCGGATCAATCCATGGGGTATACCTGGAGGCAGAACGGGGATTAAATAAAGACATAGGGGAGACAAAGAGAGATGGAAGCAAGTTCAGAGAATCTGATCAAGTCCCCGTTTATTCAAGAAGTGATCACATCTTTTATAGGCCAAGGGCGGGAGGTGGGACAGGAAGAGGCTATGGGGATGAATACAACAGGGTCACCCTCACATCTGGGTACATGGCTTAAGCAGGAGAGGATTATGGTTAATGTAGGCAGACACAGTGCCCATAGGAGAGAGAGAGACAGGGAGGCAGCAATGGGGCTGTCGCTCAGTTCCCTACATTCCCCAGTACCCCAGTGCAGTAGTATGTCTACACCAAAGTTAGAAGTTTTAAAATAAATGCCTGTGGGCATTCCAAGAAGGCCTACTGAATCCCTTGGTAATGGAAGTTGAGTGTGAATCCATTGTTACAAATGAATATTTTAGTTTGAAATACCAAAATTATAATCACTATTGTGATAGGTACCATCTGAACACATTTTTTATTTTAACATTCTTTCTAGAATTTTAGATAATGAAAAAAGGAGAAAAGGGTAAAAATGAAGATTCCATTGTGTTTGGACAGAAGCTGATTTGAATGCATCACAGTTTTCTTGTTATCAGTTTTCTTGTTAAAGTACTAAGGAGAATCACTATGAGTTAAAAAAAAAAAAAAGCCAGAGGCTGGTCCTGAGTTCGATTCCCAGTAACCTGCCCCTCCCACCCAGTAGAGGTCCATAGTTAGAGTGTAATAGACACGTAGGGTACAATAATTAGTCGACTTTTGGTTTGAATCATAAATTGTACTTAAATTATTTAGTGCTGCATGATAACAGAACAGGTGTTCAGTAGGGACTTAAATTTTCAATTTTTACTTTAATGGGACAGTTTTTCTCAAAAAATTGGGGTCAGAAGCACTGGAACATCAAACAGTAACTGGGGATTGATAGTGAACATCAGCAAAGAAGCTGCCAGAAAAGGATTTGATTAAATACTTAAAAACATTTCGGCCCAAATCACTGAGTAACCCCTGGAAGCATGTATAAGCTCAGTGAACTGATAAGGATTGTAAGTTAAGGTTTTAAAATTGAACTAAGAACTGAAACACCACTTTTAGTAGATATAGCAGTGACTTTCCTAACTCAAACATGTCAGTACTTTTAAAACTACATAGTTTGCAGATTGACCATTCAAGCCTTCAGTGTATAATTAAAAATAATTTAAGATGAATACCCTAACAAGTCAGGAAAATGTGACACATTCTCAAGGGAAGAGAATACCAATACCTTCCAACTTCAAGGTAACCCAAATGTTGGAAATATTACATGAGAGCTTTCATAATTGGTAGAGTAAAAGAAAATTTATGTCTAATGAATTAAATGATAGAAAGTACCAAACGTGAGATAAAGTCAGATAAAAACTTTAGAGTTGAAAAATGTATCTGAAGTTTAAGAAAAAACTTTCATATAGACTTACTGACAATTTAATAAAATTGAGAAATCAACTAAATATAGAATAATAAAAATATTAGGGGCTAGGGATTTAGCTCAGCCAGCATAAGTGCCTGTGTTGCATATGTGCGGTCCTGAGTTCGGTCTCAGGTACAAAAAAAAAAAAAAAAAAAAAAAAAAAAAATCTTAGAAGAATGACTTAAGACAAGGGGAAGGGGAATGGGACACTGAACCATAAGGATGTATAGGGCAACTGTGAAATGTCTAATATGCTAAGCACGGAAAATAGGACAAAACAAGTGTTTGAAAAAATAATGTAGAACTTTCCAGATTTGATAAAAGAAATGTTTGTAGATTAAAAGCATTTAGTAAACTCCAAGCAAAATAAATTAATAAGAGAACTAATTAGGTACATTCTAGTAAAATTTGAAGAAACAAAAGATAAAATCTTAAAATCAAGCATAAAAAGAATTAGATACTGATAAAAGGAAAACAATTTAACAAGTGTACACTTATCATCAGAAAACAAGGATGCTATAGAGTGGAGCAGCCTTTAAGTACTAAAAAATGAAAACCTGTCAGTTTAGAGTTCTTCATTGAGTGAAAATATCTTTTAGATCTGATAAGGGAGAATTTTGTATCACCAAACCCACTGTCCTGATTGAAGTAGCAAAGTAACAATGAATGAGGAACATGTGAGATTATAAACATATAAATAAAAATAAACCTTTCTCTTGTTACACACACACACACTTGATTGAAGTAAATATTATGTAATACATATGACAAGTAACAAATGTTGGAAAGTATATAAATGGACCTATATGGTGAAAACCTTCTGTATTTTACAGAAATGATAGCAAAGGATATCTGCTCAACACATGACAGCCCCGAAGCAGAGAGAGTTATATTAACTGCAATTCAATAGCCATAAAATGAAATTAACAAAGTTAAAAGTCTTTTGTCTTTATTTCCTGAATTTCAGGCAAATAAATGCCCAGCATTTCCTCATGTCTTATGCTGTAGACCTCTCTCTCAAATCAAAGACAGTATATATTCAGTAGAAAGGAAGAACAAAACAAATAATGTTAGCTAATAGGGATAAGTTAAACTAAATATGAATAGCAGCCAGTTCTGGATTCATCCATTTATACTTCCAGTGAATGTTTGTTAATAGTATTTATCATTAAGGTTGAATACTTTCTAGGTGCTAGAGAATGCAACAAGGAGAACCGAAAGGAACTCCTGACTTTAAAGGGGAGTAATGTATACACTTCCATGGAGAGATGACAGACAACAATGTAGTAGAGTGATGAGGAATTAAACAAAAAGCAGATAGAAAAATTTGTTAGTGAAGTTCTTTCTGCAGACCTCAGAGAAGAAAAACTGATGCAAGCCAAATGGACACATGGTCAAGAGGTTTCCAGGCAAATTTGAGAGCAGTGGAGTAGGCCATTAAACAAGAGCTTAGTTGGCAGATTGAAGGACACAGACTGTATTTCTCTATAACTTACGATGAGCTGAATTCAAAAAGCAACTAGATGTGTACAGGTGATTATTGAAACTTTAATTTTTATTCTAGAGTGGGAGTGAAGCCCACTGAATATTCTTGAATGCTTTGGCCCAATAAAAAAGGATCACTCTGGCTGTTGCATTAAATAGGGGACAAAGGAGGAAGTATGGGGAATGTTAGGAGGCTATTGCATCTAATTAAAACATTATTGTTTAAACAAGACTTGTAGCAGTAGAAAATATTGAAACTAAGCTGGAGTTTTTATAGCCCCAGAAAGCAGTATCTTATTAATTACTGTGAACATATGTGGCTATTATATACTTTCTTCTTTTAACTGATTAAGGATTATCCTATTTCATATATTGTTATATTTTGGTTATCTAAAGCTCATTCTGTAATTGATTCTTCAGTCATGGATCATGGGAATATATTTTG